GGAGGAGCTTGCAACATTTGGCAAGTTAACATGTTAATGTTGTTAATGTTAAGCAGGACCGAGAGGACCGATTTGAAGGCAAGATTCAAGCTGACCAATGAAGCATTGGGGAATATGAGTTTCTGGCCGCCGTTGAATCTTCAGATTGATGGTAGTCGAAAGGTGTATTTGGATAAGGAAACCTTTTTGACCAATCTGACAACATTTAGGTACAATACAGATGCAAAAAATGTTGGAATAACCAATCAATTAAATTTTACAGACAAACAGTGAATCAGTCCGAAGAAACAACATTTACAGATGTACTAGCTTGGTATACGTCGGTGAATGCAGCAATGTTGGAACATTTAACGCAACAAATTAAAGAAACTGACACCAGCGGTGTTTGGAGGTAAACCAACTAAACTAAATAAATGCATTATTTAAAGAAATGTTTGCGAAGCAAAAAGAAGGATAAATAAATGTATGAAATACGTGTTTTTGAATTGCGCATTTGTTTCTCGAAACTTTTGTCTAAATAATCTTGTCTCAAACATCTTTTTGCTCCAATTCACTACACGATCGTTTTTCTTCTTTATTCTAGATACTTATTGGCGTTTAAGAACTTGTTGAAAAGCATTGAAAGTACGGGAATTGCGAGCGTTTATGGCGTCAACTATTTCGGAAAAGGTATATTGAAAAAGCAAAACTACATCAGCTATATTCAGCACGATTCAATAGCCAAAGATCTACTTAACACCTCGTTGAACTACGTGGCCAAATTGAAGCAGGAGTATAACAATTTGTCTCAAACGATGATTGATTATGGCAATATTAAGAAGCAGTAAGTACATTTTCAGTTTCCGGTAAGGCCATTCTAGAATAGAACATATTTTGCTGTTTAATTGCTAGTTTAATTGTGCAAAGATGATTGGGTTTTTTGGGGGTACAAAGGACGGTTTTCCGCCACATCAAAACCGCACAAGAACTATTTTTCTGGTAGACTGCAAAACTAAAAATTTTGTTGAAAACTGTGCTTACCACTGATGATTCACTTCAGGGGTGTAAAAATGAGTACTAAATTGGTTGTTTTAAATATTGTCACATTTTATTACTTCTCTTGTTACCTCTTTATATGCTACAGTTAAAAGAAAACATATACAACTCCTTGTTACGTTTCCCCATACGCTGGCAATAAATAAAGCAAAGTTTGTTTCCAGAAATGATATTATAATAAGAAATATCCAACGAGAACCCAACTATACAGAGGCTCTTAATTATTTCGATTCAATTGCTTTATACACCGATGAGTTACGCAAACTACAACGATCCCTTAGAGTTACTATTGGGTAAGATCCTTATTGCTTTAACCATTTGACCGCATTAATAGCCTGAACTCGTTGCTGTTATAATCGTTTATGGGTTTGCACGAATTTTGAATGCTTAAAGTATTATGGAGAAACTCGATTAACAGCAATGTTATTTTATAGGGAATATGTAAGTGGAAATTTGCGAGATGCGGCCAACCAAGAGGCAGTGGGCATAACAATTTTAATTGTGGTTTTAGCCGTATCTCCTGTGATTATTTGGCTGGTTCATAATGCAGTAGCAACAATTCAGGTAAGTCTAAAGAAACTGCGTAACAAAATGCGCATTTTTTCAATACGCAAGATGCCAAAGTGCAGATTTTATAGTTTTCCGTCGAAAATAAGAAATATCGTTTATAGCAGTCTCTCACTCTTTTTTATGACTCTTAAATAGTCATTTTCGATTTAAGAATTAACTAAGTCTTACCTGGTGGTTCTTAGGAACTACTTTCACAAAACTACTTTACCCAATTCCTCAAAAACATCTTGAATGTGAATGACAATTATTTCCGGGATCAGAGTTTTCGGGATTAAAGGCGCCCTTAATAAAAAGTATGTAAAATATTCAGTTTTTATTTACAAAATAAACGCCATTGTATTCTCCTTGAAAACTACCGTATTTCGTAATTTTCAGAAAAAAATCAGGGCACGTCAATGGCATTTGCGCAAATATAAATTATTTCTCAATTTTATATTATTTGGGTTTTCTCCTGGAATGAACAGCTTTTGATTGCAAAAGTAAAACCGTTGTAGTGTGCGGCAAAATTACCGTAATAAGTAGCATTTGATACTTTCTGAAAAAACCAATGGCTTTGCTGCAAACAAAAATATTTTCCAATTCCACATTCAGTTGGGAAGAAAAACATTATTTTGACTTTTTTTCTTAAAATTCAAATTTTTCCATGTAAAAAATGAAAACATTTGTCGTTTCAGAGAAAATAACCGCCCTAAATATTTAACATTTGATACTTTCCAGATAAAAAAACCAGAGCACGCCAATGGTTTTTCTGCAAATGAAAACTGTTTTGCAATTCTGCGTTTATTAGGAATTAAGGAACATAAATTAGGAACAGAAAAGTCTTTTGGGTTTGTTGCTTAAATGGTCCGGTTTTGATTTAAAAAAGGAAATCCGTTGATTTCTTCGAAAAAAATTCCGCGATATTTAACCGATTCTTTCCAGAAAAAAAATAGTGTGCGATAAGAGTATTTCTGCAAATAAATTTATTATTAAATTCTACATGAAATTGGGAACGAAAATGCTTTTTGGGTTTTTTCCTTGAAACGTGCAGTTTTTTATTTTTAAAACCGTTATCCTGTGCGAGACAATTACCGCAATATTTAGCATTTGATACTTTCCGGTTAACTATTACACCCCAATGGTTTTTTGCAAATAAAAAACAAATACATTCAGGTTGGGAAGAAAAATTTCCTTTGATTTTCTCTTAAATTGTACACTTTTTTTATTTAAAAAATGAAAACTGTTGTCGTATCTGAGAAAATTACGGCAAATAAATATTTGGCAGTTGATATTTTCCCGCGAAAAACAGGAGCACGCCAATGGTTTTTCTGGAAATAAAAATTATTTATCAATTCCACATTTAGTTGGGAATAAGAAAGCTCTTTTGGGTTTTGTTGCTTAAATGCGTAGTTTTTGATTTACATAATAAAAACCGTTGTATTGTGCGAGAACATTACCGCAATAATTTCCAGAAAAGATGTGTACAATAACGTTTTTTTTTAAATTAGGACTATTTTCCAATTCAACTATTAGTTGTAAACAAAAAAGCTCTTTTGAGTTTTTCTGCATAAATGCACAGTTTTTGCTTAAAAAAATAAAAACCCTTGTATCGGATAAGAAAATTACCGAAATTTTTACCATTCAACACTTTCCAGAAAAAAGAACAGTGCATTCTAATGCTTTTTCTACAACTGAAAAATGTTGCTTAAGTAAGTAATGTTTTTGATCGATGCTATTTTCAGTTATATGCTGCGAACTTGTCGAAAAAAGCCAACGAATTGAAGAGGGAAAAAAAGAAAAGCGATCTGCTGTTATTTCAAATGCTTCCTCCGAGTGTGGCGACCCAACTTAAGCAAACCAGACAAGTAGGTTTAATTTAACTAACGATATTAAGCACGAAAATAATTAATTTAATGCTTTTCTAGGTACCTGCCGAATATTATGCGTCGGTCACAGTGTATTTTAGTGATATAGTTGGGTTTACGGAAATTGCAGCCATCAGCACACCACTCGAGGTGAAAATCCCAAATCTTCCTTCCGGTTGATAATCCTGCTAATCCAACCAATTTCAGGTGGTAACATTCTTAAATAAAATCTACAAGCAGTTTGACTCTCGTATTGAATGTTATGATGTGTACAAGGTGGAAACGATTGGCGATTCTTATATGGTGGCTTCTGGGCTGCCTGTAAAAAATGGTATTTTTTTCCAGATAATTAATCCATCAGCAGCTTATTTTGTTCATTTTCAGGCAATAAGCACGTATCGGAAATAGCCAGTATGGCTTTGGATCTACTTGCAGGTTCCAGGCATTTTAAAATCCCGCACAGAAAATCCGAAAAGCTTCAAATTAGGTACGTATTTATAGAAAATAGTATCTTTTTAGCAATGTTAGCAAATAATGTTGTACATTTAATAATTAGCTGCTGGAATTTAGTGCGTTATTTATGATGAAAGCATGGTTTTAGTAGTGCATTCAAATTAAAGACATTTTTTTGGTTTGAAATCGACAAATGATTTTATGGGAAATTTTCGCTCTTAACCTGAATAATTTATTAGATCTGGAGCCCATACAGGCCCAGTAGTGGCTGGGATAGTTGGGTCTAAAATGCCAAGATATTGCCTATTTGGAGACACCGTAAATACAGCTTCGAGAATGGAATCGACGGGTGTAGGTAACATATATTTTTTTAAGTAACTAGAGAACTTTGAGAAAATTTGGTGGAAAATCATTCAAATTTATGAAAGTTACATTTCAGCATCAAAGATCCATATAAGCCTCGAAATGAAAAAAGCCCTGGATGCAATTGGCGGGTACAAGATCGAAGAACGCGGACTAGTGGAAGTGAAAGTAAATTTTCCCTATCAGGTTAGACAAAATTAAAAACTAAACTTTCGAATGTTTTAGGGTAAAGGACTGATGGAAACGTTTTGGTTAACTTGCAAGGAGGGAGTTACTCAGAATACTGTTGAGATCGAAGCTCCTTCGTATTTTCCGGTAGGTTTCCATGAGCGTTTGAATCGATTAACAGAGACAGTTATTTTTTTAGGAAGACGAAGACATGGAGCCGGTATTTATTAAAAGGTTGAAAGACAAAAATTACTTTTAATTTACTATCCGACACCCAATAGATTGAATGTTAAATGTTTGCGGCTTTTCATCAATCATCAAACACTATTTTCGTCTTAATCACAGCTTAGCTAGAATAAGGAATTTTTCGAAATCTGAAAATCTGCTTCATTTTATAACAAGTCTATGTTGTATTTATTAAACCTATATTAGGTGCCAATGTATTTACCTAATTGACGTGGTATACTTGATGTTCAATGTTCATTATCTCTTTACAAGTTTTACAGTTTTTATATAAATGTGGTAAAGATCCAAGCAAGGAAAGTACTCGAATAATGCTTTATCAAGGACACATAAAATATTTTTAATTACGTGTTGAGTATAAATGGAAGTAATAAAAATGTAAATAAAAAATTTAATTGGCCCAGTGGGTTTTATTACGGGTTCCTGTCGTTGGCGCACGTCGGAGTCAAAAATTCGTGGTGGTCCAAATAGTTGGCCAGAAGTCGCTTAAGCTCAGCATTCTCTTTGCGAAGTCGCATTACGTCATCACAAATCGTCCGGCGATCTAAAAACCTACACCTTCTTGGCCCCTCATTGAAATTGAATGGATAATCCAGCAAAAACCTTTCAGAATTTCGTGATATTTCTTCAGGCCTTCCAAAAGAGCGTTCCAAACCCTCACACGGTCTTCGCCGAAATTCTGCCTGAACTTTTCCCAGTAGGTTTTGATGTCACGTTCTGTTAAATATCTCGATATGGTTAATCGTTTCTTCTCTAATCTGGCTCCAGTGGTAGGAACTCTGGGCCAATAAGCATAAAATTAGTGACCCATTGGGGGTCTATTCAGTATCCAAACTTTACCCGGACGTGCGCACATAATAAGACGCAACAAACTCCTTTAAAGCCCTTAGCACATAAACAGGACTAATCACCAAAGGGTGCCGAAACTGGCAGGCGGATAAATCAGTTAATCGCATGCTGGATATTTTCTTTTTGGATGACACTGCCTTCACCTTATCCTTAGTTTTATCTGCAAAGCTAACATTTTTGCAGTTTCGCCTTCATTCTCATTTTAAGCGACTCACTATTGCTCCAAACCTGCCACTCCGCAAATATCTTCAATGGCTTCATGTTCGGACGCCTCAGACACGGAGTCTGGTTCTTCTGCCAGATCCTCAGTGTTAACCAATTGGGAAATAATGGAACCAAGCACCACATCAGGCTGGCGAATGGCATCAATAACATCGTCTAGTTCTGGTATGTAGAAATTTGAGGCATCTCCAAATCCTAAAGAGGCAAACTGTACTGAATAAAATGAGCAGAATGCAATTCATTCGATTTTCCCCATTTTTAGACTATTCAATTCTTTTGAAAGGAATGGCGATAATCCACTTAAGTTGTTCCGTTGGCATGTGATTTCCCTTTCAATGTATTTATTCAAAATATACTCATTTGTCTGGAAAACTTACTAGAAAATATCGATGAAATTTGAGATGAGGCTGAAGTTCTACTATCAATACGGGAAGCCGAAGTTCCCATTGATCCCTGGCAAACTGGACAATACGTGTATGGTTGGAAATGTTTAAACAAAACATTGATATAGTCAATGCCTTGAATGCCGATCGCCTAAGAAAAAATAAATAATAAATAAATAAAAATATTTAATTCCTGCGGCTGGAAAACTACAATTGATAGAGTGCTATTTAATTTTTCAGCGCTGAAAGTTGCATTAAGACCAAAACGTGAGTAAATGAAACCACTCACAGCAAAAACATTATCCAATCGGACGATATTCTTCTGATCGTCCGTATATCCCTTCAGGAGCTCTTTGAGACGTTTTTCAGCCAAAAATCCCGATTTGTCCGAGATTCGAGTCAATATGTGCTTTAATACCTTCATGTAGTTGCTGTTATCCTGCAGATTGGAATCTAAAGATTCGCTATCTTGGAAGATGGTTTGGACGGACAGTATTTGTCCTACTGATCTCGACTCTACCGACTTGCCATCTGTGTCGACAAAAATGTATATGAAGCAGACGCAAAGTTTGTAACGCTATTAAATTGCGATTTACATGGGAACAACTTTCTTTGTGATAAGAGGTACTTGAGAGTAGCAAAAAATCAGAAACAAGATCAATTGCTCTACGATAATGCATTTTTACCGTGTAGAAACTCTGCAGGCACATTATTAACAGCCAACCGGTAACTCGGCAATGACTTTTTGTCGACGATAAAGTTCTGTGGTGGGTCCCATTCGAGTCCCATCTGCTGCTCGTAGAGAATTTTATCGGTGTCCAGAATTTTCTTCAAAACTGCCAAAGTGCGGTTTTTATTCATTTCCCATAGCATGTGGAACTTCTCGTCGTTTACGTGGGCAAAGTGGTCAGCTTTGGCTTCCACCTGTGGAAAATTCCTGGTTTGTTCAACTCTAATAATCAAACATTAAGTGCTTACATCAATGATGGATTTATGCAACTTCTTAATACTCTCGGACAGTTTTTTAATTTTATTTGACATGCGGGATTCGTACTCAGAAATTTTCGTTCTCAGGCCGTTGATCACGTCTTGCAATTTGTTCATTCTCCTCTTCTGCTGGGATTTTATTATAATGTTTTCATCCTCCCTCTTTTTAAGGATCTGATAGTTATAATCCAGCTTCTCACTGTTAAGCAATGCCAGAGCTTTGATTTTCTCCAATTCCCGTTGAAGCTCTTCTATGTCGTTCTCCAACTTAATCTTGGTCTCCCTAAAATGCTCCTACACTTTTTTTGAAGAAGACTCCAAGTTTCACTGATCTATCAAACCTGAAAGTCCATTCGCAGTGACTCCATTCTTTGATCAAACTCCTCAACTTGCTCAAACTTTGCCTTGCTATTGGATATTTCTTGATTTTCACGCTTTCTAAATAACTCTTCCCATTTCTTATCGGTCACTTCAATTAGCGCTTCTCTCTCATGCTGTATTACATTTTCCAGTATATTGAGCTCTTCTCGATATGCGCGTCTCATAAACGATATCTGCATCAGTTGAGCATGTATGGTTCAACTAGTCTCAAGTATTAGTATTCCAAGGTTAAACCCTTGGTTAAAGGACCGAACTTACCTGCTTTTCAATTCTTTGTGATAGAGTGTTGACATCTTCCATTTGTTTTCTTTGATCTTTAGCGAATTGTTTGTCAGCATTTCGCAGCTCCTCATTCAACATCGCAATTATTCCATCCTTTTGACTGATCAACAAGTCACATTTCTCCTTTTGCTCCATTATAGCTTCGTTTATTTGCAGAGGATCGTTTTGGCGTTGAATTGACTGCAAATTTTCTTTTATTGGGGGTTTTTGCACTAAAATATCTTGGCAAACAGGCGAGTTTCTACTCATTTTATTCACTGGTTCTCAGTATAATTTTATTTAATGATCATTACCGCCCATTTGTTGGCAATGTTGTTGAAAAGCTCACTAGCGGCCTGCGCTTCTTCATCTAATTGTTCGTAAATCTTTTCTTTGTTTAATCCTTCTGATTCCCTTCTGTCCACTTCTCTGGAATCATTCGCCACTCGAACGTTCGTAATATATTCTTCACCTGTAAGGAGCCAGTGAAATTTTGCTTATTTGTTAATTTGAAAAAAAATGCATTGCACGGATTTGTGAAATAAAATATAACTTGGATGGGTCAAGGAAGCCTGTAAAAGACAACATGTTTTAATTTACCTTCTATTAGAAACTTTTCCAATAATTCCGCGCTTTTCTTTAACTGAATTTGTATCTCGTTAAATTCCTCGTCGCCTTGCACCAGTTTGTCTACCTGTTGAACACTTTGCTTGCTACAACAATAATATTGTAAGCACATATACAACGAAGACTAATTCCGAATAAACAAGACGGATTTTAACTGGAAAAACAAAAATTTCCAGTCTTCTTAACTGTTGTGGAACTTTTGAGTGAGTGCGTAAAATGGTGTTCAAATTTTGCCATATAAGTTAACATTTGAATTTTTAATTGACCCGAATCCAACCGGAAATCTACGGTGAAATGCATTCGTTAATAATTTTGCAAGCAACTTTTGAACTCATTTTTTCGTACTTGAGTCACCGTGTATATTTTGGAACTGAAAAACTGATAATTTTAACATTCTATTCCTGTAATAAATTAAAAAATCAAACCTTTTCTTCAACGCTTCCCATCTGCGCTCAATTCTTAACCGCCTGGCCAGCTTGCGCTCATTCGGATCAGAAGAAGTAACTTGCGGTTCAAGATCTTCAATAATTTCAGTACTTCTTCTTGAAGACATTTTAGCGTGACAATTAAATACGAAAACTGTTTAAGTTACTCTATCGTAGCGCAATAAAATAAATTCGATCAATCAAATTTCTAAGCTCGCCATAGCAACCAACCAATCCCGTCCCAAAATTATACACCAGAAGGCCAATAAAATCGGTAATTTAATGAAATGATAACTAATTATTAATTTGAATAGGTAGAAGTTTTATGCATGTAGGAAATATCTCCAGATATGCAAGTGCTCATTTGGTGCGTGCGTGGCTGAGGTGTGCGGATGCTAATCGAATTCGCCTCCCGGCACAAGCTGACAACGCTTAACTCCGCTGGCAACTCTGTAGGTTTTCATTTGTTGACGTTTTTGACAAAACCGATTAGCATTTCTTCGATAAAAGTGACAATGGCGGTAGGTACTAATTTTTATTTTTGATTTCTATTCTTAATTCATCTTATTAAATTAACTGGGAAAATTGTGAAATTTATCATGGAAAACGAGAAAGTATTTCGACCTATTTATTCTATTTCATATTTTTTCGCTGGGACTTAGGGTATTTTGTCAAATTACATGTTTTTACGTGTAGTGTAGAAACTAAAACTAGCTATTTTGTGGTTGATTTCCTAAACCACATAAAATCACATGTTTTTTTAACAATTTAGATGAGAAACTACGTTTCTTAAGGTGCAACTAGATTACATTTGTTGCAAAAAATCTAACCTAAAATGTTGCTTTTATTGCAGCCCGTTGCTAAAACGACCAAAAAGGAGAGGAAGGAAGTGAAGGATAAGTCCAAAAATGTAATGCGGGACTTGCACATTCGAAAACTTTGCCTAAACATCTGTGTAGGCGAAAGTGGAGACAGGCTTACCAGAGCAGCCAAGGTAAGAGCTTTACCAGCCGATTTCTCTGGAAAACTGAACTTGGGCTGGCTGCTTTTGCATATTTACATGAGTTCATTCTCTCCAGGTACTGGAACAGCTTACCGGTCAACAGCCTGTGTTTTCAAAGGCCAGATTGACTGTCAGGTCCTTCGGCATTCGTCGTAATGAAAAAATTGCGGTTCACTGTACCATTAGAGGTGCCAAGGCAGAAGAAATCTTAGAAAGGGGCTTGAAAGTTCGAGAATACGAGTTGCGAAGGAACAATTTCTCAGGTATGTCTATTTTGTAAAGTTGAGCTTTTAAACTTGTTTTTATACTAGAGCGTTTATTAAAGTAAATTCTATATTCTCCAATTATCAAAGACATGATGTTTTGGCTATTTTTGTAGTCTGAGGTAAAACCTTTTATTTTTTCGGATTTTCGTCCAATTATCGAGATTCCTGTATTTTTCTGTTGTGGGCTTCAAAATCTAAATTACCTAAAAATGTTTTTTTATGTCTTAAGCATCCGGAAACTTTGGGTTTGGTATCCAAGAGCATATCGACTTGGGTATTAAATATGACCCCAGCATAGGAATTTACGGTTTGGACTTCTACGTCGTGTTGGGAAGACCCGGATTCAATGTAGCACATAGAAGGAGGAAACAAGGTAAAGTTGGTTTCCCCCACCGACTTACTAAGGAGGACGCTATGAAATGGTTCCAACAGAAGTATGACGGAATCATTTTGGGTAGCAAAAAATAAGTTAATAAACTTATAAAGTTTTGCTGAGCAATTATATTATTTTTTGTCTTTCAAATGACCGCAATTACCAACATCCTTCCGTTTCCTACATTGACATGTTGTCTTTTCCGTTATTTCGTTAACAAAGTCCTGTTTAGTGGTGTGTCGTTCAGTGCAAACTTCTCATTTAATTGTGCTTAAAGAGTTAACAGCGGTTATTTCAGTGTAGTTCTCTCATATGCAACAGTTTTTGAAATTACATTTCCTAAGTGCCGGTCACTTTCCAATTAAAGGTTAACCTATGAATTGTTCTTAGTGAAGTTCTATAGAAACTTACGAAGGTTTGTTTCGGTTTTTGCCCAAAGTGATTAACAGCGGACATGTCCAACAAATTTATTTTGTTTGTTTAGGGTCACTCGCTAACTTTAAGCCACTTACAGTTTGAGCCCATATAACAACGCCACGTATAATACATCGAATATTTGAACACAATTATTATATTTAGAAACATACATATACCTATGGTTCGCCAGAGTCCAGCCTCCCCCAGAGCGCTAAAAGCGCACAGTTGAAAAAATATTCCTCAGTATCCCCCAACTCATTACAAGATCTCATGATTCTTCGAACGAGTGAAAACTTCGACACGTCGATTCTACACGTTCGAAGGTAAAAGGTGTCAGTGTCTTGAGGTCATCGAGGAAAATCAATCAATCGAAAGGCAACTCTTATCTGAAGTTCTATTATTTTCAACCCAAGATCGCTACATTTAATTTAATTGTTCGAACAAAATTTCCTATTATTTTTGTGTTATAGTTGTCACCCAGAAAGTGGACTTTCCGAA